AGGAAGGGGGAGGGAGGAAGCAGTGGGCGGGAGGAGATGAATTGTCAGGCCGTTGCGTGGGTCAGCCAATACTGGGGGGGGCGCCCCAAGGTCGTCGCGGACTTGCGGCGGGGCTTATCTGGCGGCGACTGGACTATCGAGCCTCGCTTCGCGGTGCCTAGATGGTGAATGATGAGGAAGAGAAAGGTGGAGGAGGAGGAGGAGACGGCAGGAGGAAGGGAGGTGGAAGGAAGGAAGGGAGGCAGGGAGGCAGGCAGGGACGGAACCAGGAGGTCGAGGAGGGAGATGCCGGATTGTCATCTCTACAGGTTTAAATTTACCCTGGCCCATTTTTGGGGATCAGGCTACTTTCGGAGATTTATCGGGGACTGTGTCAGTTTACAATGACGAGCGAGTGTTGCCAAGGGTGGTGCCTCACGGGTTGAGGCACTACCTGGGGCATACTACACGAACGGCGTTCAGCAATTAATTGTCAGCATGCCACATCCTCAAGATCGTCAAGATCATGACCGAAACCACATTGCCAGTGATTGAGGTGGGACGCCCCGATCTTTTGCTGCGGTCATGCCTTGAAATGCCCTGGTCTTAGAACTTCCAGTCGACATTTCAAGCGTGAAGCTTGACACGCATGACAGGAGGCTAACATGTGACCTGCGATAGTCCATCTGTAAAATCTGTACATCTGGGATGCGTGTGTGATATCACGGTGTCATAAGGAGCATTCCTTTTCAAGCTTGTCAGGCTGCCTCTTATTGGTGGGATTGCGGTTCGTTACCTCTCGACAATGAAGTTGTTTTTTTCCAAGAAGGGAGGAGGATCATGAGGGAGGATGAGGGCGGATGAGGAGGATCATCAGGAGCAGCAGGAGGAGGGGGAGGAGGAGGAGGAGGAGGAGGAGGAGGAGGAGGAGGAGGAGGAGGAAAAGGAGAAGGAGGAGGAGGAGGAGCAGGATGAGGAAGCGGAGGTGGATGAGGAAGAGGGGTGGCAGAGGAGGAGGAGGAGGACGGAGGAGGAGAAGGAGGACGAGGAGCCGGAGGAGGAGGAGGAGGAGGAGGAGGAGCCGGAGGAGGAGGAGGAGCCGGAGGAGGAGGAGGAGGAGCCGGAGGAGGAGGAGGGGCAGAGTTCAGCGGGACAGGTATGACTGGAGTTCCTCCACCCTTCCAGGTGCGCCCTGGCTCGGGCGAGCTCTCCTGCCGTGCTTCGGGTGGCGGGGAGCTCGCCGGTGCCGATGGCGCCGCGTGCAACGAGAGCGAGCCCGGCGACTACGGCGGTGTGCAGGCGATGCAGCTCAGCGTGCAGGGTGCCTGCCAGACACTCACGGTGCTGCGCAGGGGCATGCTGGACGGCTGGGACCTGCACGGCGGCGGGAAGATCGGCTCCTGGCGCGTGAACAGCACCCTGCAGACCACGATGTGCCACGATGGGCGCCATCTGCTTTTGGCCCATCCCGGGGACGAGGCTGATGGGCCTGTTTTCCACTACCACCGCCACCACCATAAGTTGGAGGGGGGAAGGAGGTGGAGGACGAGGAGGAGGAGGAGGAGGAGGACGAGGAGGAGGAGGAGGGAGAGGAGGAGGAGGAGGAGGAGGAGGAGGAGGACGAGGAAGGGGGGGGGAGGAGGAGGAAGAGGGGGAGGAGGAGGGAGAGGAGGAGGAGGAGGAGAGAGGAGGAGGAGAGGAGGAGGAGGAGGAGGAGGGGGAGGGGGGGGGGGAGGGGAGGAGGAGGAGGAGGAGGAGGAGGAGGAGGGGGGAGGAGGAGGAGGAGGAGAAGGAGAGGAAGAGGGGAGGAGGGGAGGAGGAGGAGGAGGAGGAGGAGGAGGAGGAGGAGGAGGAGGAGGAGGAGGCCCCCTCCCCCTCCAACCTATGGTGATGGTGGTCGAAGGCAGGGCCATCGGAGGCCGGGCCCGTGGTCGAGGCGATGCCTCTGCCTGCGGCCCTGGCGAATTGCCCATCCTCGCGGCGGGCCAGAGTGGAGCTGGCCAACGAGGCATCCTCTCCTCCTCCTCCTCCTCCTCCTCCTCCTCCTCCTCCTCCTCCGCTCCTCCTCTGCTCCTCCTCCTGCTCCTCCTCCTCCTCCCTCCTCCTCCTGCTCCTCATCGTCCCTCCTCCCTCCTCTCCTCCTCCTCCTCCTCTCCTCCTCCTCCTCTTCCTCCTCCTCCTCCTCCTCCTCCTCCTCCTCCCTTCCCCTGCTCCTCCTCGTCCTCCTCGTCCTCCTCGTCCTCCTCCTCCTCGTCCTCCCTGGAGGCCGAGGCCGGAGTGGAGCTGGCCAACGAGTCGGTTGCAGAGCTGGGCCGACCAGAGCGCTTCCTGAATATGTAAGAAATCTCAGGCCTAGAGGCTGATACCAGCACCAGTAGCGGCGGCGTGCCTCCACCGAAGGAAGAAGTTCCCGATCTCGGTGACGGTGGTCGTATTCTGGCTTCCAAGGTGGCCGAATTATGACCACCCACGCCGACATCCAGGATCGTCTCCCCCCTGTGGAGTCACCCCCCTGTGTTGGTGTTGGTGCCCATGTCCAGGCCTCCAAAAGTCCTCCTGTATGTGCAGAGTCATATGGCTTGCCGAACACTGGACTGAACGGGCAGACTTTCCAGCTTGGGCACGCAGAGACGGAGCAGCAGGTGTTTACTCCTGTAGTCTTTGTTGCTTCCAGCTTACTCCCTCGTCTATGCCATAGCACGCGTTCCAATTAGTACGGACGAGTCGGAGTAGGAATCCTGAAGGCTTCGCCCGCTGCCGTTGGCCCCCATTCTTATTTGCTCGATGTCATTGTCAGCAGCATGACATATTCACTCGTTTGCGGGCCGGCTTGTGTTAATACTGCTTGGCTGGCGTGCTGATTTGTTGGTTGGTTTGCTGGTTGGGTGGTTCGCAGGTTAACTTGTTTGTGTCATTTGGTAGGGTGGTTCTGCTGTCGGCTGGTTCCGCATTCAGGCCCACGAGTTTGCAATAGCTCAAGACTGCATGAGAGATCGTCTGCATGACAGCACACTGCTACTATGCCCATTCGCATGACAGCACGGTAGCATGCTTGCAGTCTACTAATATTGTGTCAGAGCGGGTTGCATGATAGACCGTTTATCTAATGAATGATTCGGTCGGGGGTGGACAGAACCCCCAACAGTGACACGTCGATTAGTGAATTGTCCGTTTTCGGTTCTCGAGAGGGCGCCGTGGCCGTTATTTTCCAGGCTTGCGCCCGCCAGGTTTGGGCCTCAGGTCGTTTTCACTAAACCACGTTTTACTAAAGGGGGGTCTGTCCATCCCCGATTCAGGGCCGCTCTTTCCAGTATGCACATGCTTGCAATAGCTTTCGTTACACAATGGCGCGTGTGAAAGATGCGCCGTGTGTTGCGTATCAGCTTGATCGGACAGCGGCACGCGCGCAGGGCGGTGTGGTTGGCACATGTCACGTGTGCGCTCATCGAATACAGCCAGGGCCCTGCAGAAGGAACCCTTTTCGTTGGTGAGGGGCTCCGCGTTCCTTAAGTGTTTCACAGCTTGCCTCAGGCTTTCCTTAGGTTTTCGATGGGAAGTCGAAGTTTAACTTACGGACAAAAGGGGCCTCGTTCCTTATTTAGGGTTCCTTAGGTCAACGCCCCGACTGCACGTCCGTAGCATTCTACAACTTCAAGATGTCGCGCTGGCTCTCGAGACAACGGGTCTGACATCCAGTATGCTGGGATTGTAGTTTGGGTGAGTGATACTACGCCTGCACGGGTCACGAGCATGCAGCGGTGATCAGTTCCATTATGATGCGTTTGCGTGGTGTTCAGCAGGTTCTCGATATGACAGCCTCACATGGTGTACCAATTCTGAACGCTTCGCGTGACCCCACCAGCCCATCCAGACACGATGCCCAGACGAATTGCCCTGATCAATGATGTGGAGAAGCATACAATATAATGAAGGGCTGGGTAAGACGTCATATCCGGAGAATGGAGAAGGAATCGGAGCAAGAAGAGGAGGAGGAGGACGTGACGACGAGGATGATGATGATGATGATGATGATGATGATGATGATGATGATGATGATGATGATGATGAGGAGGAGGAGGAGGAGGAGGAGAAGGAGGATGAGGAGGAGGAGGGAAAGGGAGAGGGGGAGGAGGGAGGAAGGATGAGGAATAGGCGGTTCAGTAAGAGGAGGAGGAGGAGGAGGAGGAGGAGGAGGAGGAGGAGGAGGAGGAAGGAGGAGGAGGATAATGAGGAGGATAATGAGGAGGAGGGGGAGGAGAAGGAGGAGGAGGAGGGAGGAGCAGGAGGAGGGGGAGGGCGAGCAGAAAGGCCATAGGCTTCTTGGATGCCTCGCGGAGTCTCTTCGGATGCCTTTCGAGCGCTTCTTGGAATCCTCTTGGGCCGTCCTAGGTGGTCTCTGGGCAGTCCCGGGGGCGTGCTGGGGCGTCTTGGGTGCTTCTGGGAGGCCTCTTGGGGCCTCTCGGGGGTCTCTTGGGAGCCTCTTGGGGGCATCTTGGAGGCCTCTTGCGGCACCCTTGGGCGCCTCTGGGGGCGTCTTGGGGCCATCTCAATTAGCGTTGCACCTCCCCTCCGCCCCCCCCAAGAGGCCAACATGTGGCCAAAACCTTAATGGCATCAATGATTGTGGCTCTCTCGCCGAGGCCAAAGGAGACCATCCGACACCTCGCGGCCCCCCCGACCAGGTCCAGGGGGGAGGGGGAAGGGGGATGGGGGAACCCCTCCCCGGAGGCAAAGAAGGGGGGACGGAAGAGGGAACTCGCAGAACCAATCATGCCCGAAAGGGCTGGTTGGATTTGATCGGGTCGTGGCCTCGGGGGCGCGGACCCACCGCAGCCCTCATCAGATGAGGAACTTCGCGAGGAGAAGAGTCAGGAGGAGGAGGAGAAGGAGGAGGAGAGGAGGAGGAGGAGGAGGAGGAGGAGGAGGAGGAGGAGGAGGGTCTCGCTTGCTCTTGCCAGGGGCCGCTGCACTGGGAGAGCGCGGGCCTGTTTTTTTTTCGAGGGCCTCCGCCCTTGAGCGCGGACCGGCCGTTGCCCATCTCTGCCACGAGGGCTTGTGGCCTCGGGGGCGCGAACCCACAGCCTATCGTTACAGTCGGGGCGCTGAAGAAGGAACCCTTTTCATTGGGGAGGGGCTCCGTGTTCCTGAATTGCTTCGCAGCTTGCCTTGGGTTTTCCTTTGGTTTTCGATGGGAAATCGAAGCTTAATTTATGGGAAATGGGGGCCTCGTTCCTTATTTAGGGTTCCTTAGGTCAACGCCCCGACTGTACCGAGGCCATGCATCAATCGCCAGCTGTTGAACCACAAGGCTGCGGGACGCAAGTGCCCACTGTTGTGGAGACGCGCCGGCAGGGATGCCGCTACCATGCACGCATCGAGGCACAGTGGGCGCGAGCAGACGCGGCCCAGCGACGAGTGGGGCTCAGCATCTGGCATGAGATGCAGCCTCGGCCCGGCGGCATCCTCACAGCTTCTGGCCCCCCATGTGGGCCAGTCTTCGACTTGAGTGTAGCACCTGTTCTGTTTGCCTTCCTGCTATCCCCTTACTTCTTCCTCCTCTCGCCCTCTCGGCGTCTGCCGCCTTCGGCCTCTCCCCCGTTCGTTCTTCTCTGGCCGCCTGGGTGCTGCCAGGCGTGCGGTTGCCTCCACGTTCCCGCCCTGGGGGCGGCCAGAGGAGTGGTGACGAGAAGAACCGAAGAGGCCTCGTCCTTCCTACGTGCACTCAGGCGTGGAACGAGCGCCACGTTTCTGCACGCCCTTCCTGGCTACCTGCCGGGCGTGTAGTCGTCGCCGCTATCCCTGCGCCCCCAGGAGGCCCGGCGGAGTAGTGACACACGCTGGTCAGACGAGGCCTCGCGTTCCACGGGTGCGGCCAGGCGTGCCGCTGCCGCCGCTCTCCTGCGCCCTCGGGGGGGGGGGGATCCAGCGGAGCGATGACGCACGCACACCGCATTGTGACCTCGCTTCGTTCTCTATGGGCGCGGCCCAGCGTAAAACTGTCGTCGCATTCCTGCGCAGATTCAATGCGGACCTTGTGCTCCCTGGCTGCTGCCGGGTGTGCATGTGTCGCCACTCCCCTATGCCCCTGCGGGGTCCGACGGAGTGGCGGCAGACACACACAGACACACACACAGACACACACAGACACACACAGACACACACAGACACACACAGACACACACAGACACACACACAGACACACACACACATACACACACACACACGCACGCGAATCCTAACGGGACCTCGCCCTTCCTGGGGCTGCAGGGCATGCGGCCGTCGTCAGTCTCCTGCGTGCCTGGGGGGGGGGGCCTGCTGGGTGATGGCGCGCGCAGGCCCAAACGGTGACCGTGCCCTCCCCAGATTCTGCCGAGCGCGCATCGTCGCAATGCGCATGCGCCCCTGGAGGCCCACTGGAGGGATTGCACGCACACAAGCACACGAGCACAGCCACACACACATACACACACGGAGGAGGAGGAGGAGGAGGAGGAGGAGGAGGAGGAGGAGGAGGAGGAGGAGGAGGAGGAGGAGGAGGAGGACACGAGCCCACATGGGACGTTGCCCTCCCTGGGTGTTGCCAGCCGTGCCGCCGTCGGCCATTTCCCGCGCGTCGGGGCGGGGGGGGGCAGCGGAGTGGTGGCACAGGCATGTGCGGGCGGGGGCAGCACCCGCCCTGGGCCCCCAGGTCCCTGGGAGCGCGGTCCTGATGATTTTGAACAGGGGGACTGTGAATCTGCAGGGGCCCTGAGACACACAAATAGACAGACACAAGTAACCGGATTCCCCACTTTTTTATATGTTCTGTGTTTGCGTCTTCCCCCCCACTTCCCATATTTTTCCATATTTTCTGGGAGTCGACGATTAATTGTGTCTGTGTTTATTCCCTCCTGATGTGGGGGTGGGGGTGAACCAACGTCTCATTCAATCGATCTCAGTATCGATCTCAGAACCGATCTCGCGATCGATCTCACGATCGATCTCACATCGATCTCACTATTGATGTCACTGTCGATCTCACGATCGATCTCACAATCGATCACACGACCGACCTCACCATCGATCTCATTAGCGATATCATTCTCGATCTCACAATCGATATCACTATCGACCTCACTGTCGAGTCACTACGGGATACCGACGGGATGCCGACGGGGCATCACTATCGACCTCATGATCGATCTCATTCGAACGATCTCACAAACAATCTCACTACCGATCTCACTGTCGATCTCACTATCCCTCTCACTGTCGATCTCATCATAGATCTCACTACCGATCTCACAATTCTTGACGCCTCGCGTATTCCGACCCGCGTCTGTGCACGTGCTCGAGCTCTCAGGACACCCCTGCCGTCAGCTCCCCTTCAGCTTCGCGGCTGCTTTGTGAGCGGGCCGGCCGTGCCTGTTGTAGCTAATTAGCCTGGTTCGTGGCCCGGACGTTGCCTTCGCCGCCTGACCCTTGTCTCGTGGCCTCTGGCCAAAAAAACAAGTATTCCGACCTGCCCATCCAAAACCGACGCCCAGGCGAGTTGAGACGATCAGGGAAGTGCAGGAGCAAAGGGAGGGACAGCCGCCATCGCTCGAGGGAGGTGGATCAGGAGGAGGAGGATGGATGAGGAGTGAGGGAGAAAGAGTATCAATTTGCTGATGCGGAAGAGCAGGAGGAGGAGGAGGACGAGGAGAAGGAGGAGGAGGAGGAGGTTGAGGTTGAGGGCGAGCGGAATGATTAGACGCCCCTTGGATGCCGGCGTCTCTCAGGATATCTCTTGTGCGCTTGTATACTCCTTAGATCGTCTTGGGAACGTTGTGGCGGTTCCGAGAAACTCTTGGGGCGTCTGGGATGCATCTTGGAAGCTTTTTGGGACATTTTTGGGAGGCCCCTTGTAGGCATCATTGGGATTGATTTGGGGTCTGTTGGGCGCTCGGTGGGTTCACCTGGGCGCCTCTGTCTACTCCCTCCCCCACTTCCTCGACCTGGACGGCCAAAGTGCAACCCGGCATCACCGACAAGTCACGCACTACAGCTGAGCATTTTCTTTGGGTGGAGGGCAAAGGGTGAAATCTGAAATGCCGTTTCGGTGGATGTTCGAGGCTTGAATCTGCAAAAGCTGAATCACAAGACGGATTGATTTTCGAGGTGCAAAAGCCCATATGGATTTCACCCTGAGCCTTCCACCCTAAGAAAATGCTCAGCACAGGTCGCGTACCATGAGACAGAAGGTTGCGTACCAGGTCGCGTGCCACGGGTTGCGACTTGCCAGGCGTCCGGGGGGCGTGTGGGGTGGCCCTTGGCGGGCCCAGGGCCGTCTTTGAGCGCCTTGGGTGCCTCGGGGATCCTCTTCAGGCGTTTTTGGGGGTCTCTTTGGAGTCGCTTGGAGGCATCTTGGGCGCTTCTTGGGGCCGTCTGATCGCCTCTTGGGGCCATCTTGGGGCGCTCTTGGGAGCTTGACGGACGCTCTTGGGGCCATCTCGGGGGACATCGATCAAACAAGAGGGTATCTTCAATTGGGTTCCCTCGGCAGCCCCAAACATCGCCTCTTGGGGCACATTTGGTGCGCTCTTGGGCGCTCTTGTGGTCGTCTTGGGGCTCTCTTGAGCCCTTCTTGGGACCCTTTTGGGCCGAGGCCTCGGATGGCATCGGACACGAAAAGGCGAGAAAGCAGAACACATTGTTTTTCTTTAGGTTTGGGAAGGATTTTGGCCTCCTAGGCATCCTTGGGGAGCTCATTGGCTGCCTTGGAGCGTTCTTGGGGCCTCTTGGAGCATCTTGGGAGTCATCTTGAGCCATCTTACTCTATCTTGAGCCATCTTGGAGACCATCTTGGGCTTTCTGAGGCCCTCTTGGGGCCCTCTTGGGCCATCTTGGACTCTCCAGCTGCCCGCGAACCTCCCTGTCCAGGTACAGGGGAGGGGGTAGGGGGGAGGCCCTCGGAAGGCGATCGGAAGAGGAAAAGCGAGAAACCCATCCAGAGAGGATGCCCTACTACGGTGCGAGGCCTGGGGGGGCGAGGGCCCAGAGGTTCTTAAACGGGCGGTCGCAGCCTTGGGATTCCGGAGCAATGCTCTTTCATTTGGGCTCGTGGTTTTGGCAGCGTGGTCAATGCTATTGTACGCCTCTCTGGGCACACAGGTACTCGGAAGAGTTTGATTCGGACAAGAGATGGGTGTGTTCGGGGCCTGGAGGGTCGCGCGCCCCTGTGATACTGCTGCATTCCAGCAAGGGGAAGCCAGGCGTTTCTGAGTGTCGGAGACCACGTGATCTCAGCAGAAGTCGTGGATGTCCAAAAACGCTGGGTCGCAGGCAACATATGAGAGCGTTGCACGCTGCCTCGTCGCATCTCAAGAAAGGTCTCGGGGAAGCCAGAGCAGCGTAGCCTGATGCTCCCCCCGCAAGGGGGGGCGGCACGTTTTAGATTAGGCCGGACTGGGACGACTGGCAGTGTTGACACAGACATTGCGTACGTTTCCTCACCTCTTTTAGGGTTGGCGCCGGTCGAGATTTTCAAGCTGCGCTGCTATTCCACTAGGCTGGACGCCGGTGTGCATCGCGGACATTGTGCGAGTATCAGTCGCCATCTCCTGCGCGCAAGCGCCTCATCCAGGCCGTGGTGGCGCGTCGGCGCGGTGAGTTCTCCTGAGGGACGCTGAGAGCTCGCTTCAGACCAGCGTCGCCCTCGGGACGAGAAGGCGCAGGGTGTGTATGGAGTCTTCGGGAACGAATCGAACAGCGGGCTCGCTTCGGGGCACTTCTGCCTTCCCCCTCAGGGGATGTCTTCTCGGGGAGCGCGCGGCTACCGAGCAGATAGTCCTGGAGAGTCTGTCTCCGCGGGTCCTCGGCCAGCTGTGGCCGACCCGCGCGGAACGACTAGGGCCCGGGTGTATTAAGGGAGCGGGCAGCCTGAGGGAGCCAGGGGAGATCAGAGCTCCCGAATAGTCGGGTAGGCGAGTGGTCAACCGATGAGATCACCTCACAGAGAAGGTCACACGTTTGAAACTCGGACTGCTTTTTTCTGAGCTTTTCTCGGCTCCAGAGGTGCGAGCAAACCTCAGATCCCTGGCGGCATCGAGATCGTAGATTCAGGTGCTCGAGATTCGAAGAGGAAGCAGTAATGATTGGGAATCCTGTAGCGCGTGCCACCTCTGAAGCAAGCACCATTGGAAGAGACAGTCGCATCGTTTGGGAATCCCGTAGTGCTGGCCCCTTCTTGAAGGAAGCATCAGAAATAGGGGTTCAGGAGGAGGAAACCGAGGGGTTGGTGGGCTGAGGCATGCCATGTTGAATCAGTTTGGGCAACACGCCTCCCCATCAGTCGATATTCGCAATTGGCGCTACATGCAGAACTTCTGGGTCCAAGTGCACATGATAGTTTGCCCTATGGTTCATGGCTTCACGAATACTGTGAAAGAGTCGGGACATCAATCGATTGACAATCATCTTGCTGCCCTGACCACACGCATCAAGAATTACGGGGCCTCGGGACAGTGGAGCAAGGCGCTGCAATCTTTCCGAGAATGCTCGCAGTCAGGGGCTAAAGCCGACACTTTCCTTTACAACGTTGCCATCAGCGCATGTGGGAAGGGAGGGCAGTGGCAGCAGGCGCTGTCTTTGCTCAGGGAGATTGGGGAGGCGGAGCTGGAGCCAGACGTGATCCCGGGAGGAGGTGAAGAAGGGTCGATGGTTCAAAGATGGGGTCCTGAGGTATGGGGTCTCGAGGACGAGGCGCCTCAAGCAATGCACATCCACCTTGGAGTCCTTGCTTATTCTTAGGGCCCCATCCCTCAGGACCCCATCTCTGAACCACCGTCAAGGGAGAGACGAGTGAGGGATGTGTGTGAGCTCTCCCTCGTCCGCGGAGGCTGAGGAGCGTCGTGAGGAGGAGGAGGAGGAGGAGGAGGAGGAGGAGGAGGAGGAGGAGGAGGAGGAGGAGGAGGAGGCG